TTTTGAGTTTTTTTAAGGCTGCTAATACGAGCCAGAAAGCGTTTATAATTGGTTATTCTGTTATGCGTTCTGTTCGTTCGTTCTGCGCGAGCCAAGTGGGATAGGGGATGTAGAGGGCGCCACAGTGAGATAGCCACAGTGAGAAGAATCCCTCGTAACTTCGTTCAGAGAATCGTTCGGCAAAAACCGAAAACGGATTTGAGCTCAGCGTCGCAAGACGCGTGCATCGGACTACACCTCATTACAAATGGCCGGACCGACCAATTGACCATTCCTTGTTAGCTGTCCAAACGAATCCACGCTCACGAAAGCGGACTAGCAGTCTTTCGCACGGAGGAGTGTAAAGAAGCCATCATTTTGCGATATTGTGCACACTAAAATGCAACCGTCTGAACTCGAACAGTTTATTAATTATCTATTAATAAGATTATGCTATACATTAATAACACTTCGTCACTGGTGCTCACAGCATACACACGTACAGCTCGATAATGTACATAAAAGAGCAGAGGGGGTTTTTTGAGCCAGCGATTTTGCTTCAGGAGAAGGACTTGAACCCGCTGAACAATACAAACAGGCAATCACCGATATAATGCGTCAAACACTTTCCGCTATAGAAAAACAACTCGAAGAACACATACAATAGAAACAAAGTTATCAACGAAGCTGAGCTTCAATCCACTTAGACACGGCAGGACCAAGGTTGAGTCTGTAACTGCGCTTTTGAAGCTCATACTCCTTTCTTGTGCACATTCACTCAGTCTGAATCGGAGGATACAATCGAGACAAGGACAGGAAGAGACAGGAAGATCATTACGCCGGCAACTGAGTTGTGCACATTTTTTCTAACCCTTTTTCGGCGTACATGGTAGAACAAGAGTAAAGAAATATGAATACCAGATCTACTAGTAAGTTAGTAAACAAAAACCTTATCCCAAGTTGACCACCTATCTCTTCTATTCATCAAGGAAAACTCGATGCTCCACTTGGATAACGACGATTAGGCTGGTGTCAGAGTCCGCGATTTTTTGCGATTTGCGCGATTTTCGCGATTTCGCGATTTTCGCGATTTGCGCGATTTTCGCGATTTTCGCGATTTCGCGATTTGCGCGATTTTCGCGATTTGCGCGATTTTCGCGATTTTCGCGATTTTCGCGATTTTCGCGATTTTCGCGATTTTCGCGATTTTCGCGATTTTCGCGATTTTCGCGATTTTCGCGATTTT